TCCTATTTCTTCTCTCTTCTCTCCCCTCTCCTTATTCTCCTTCACCTCCTCTTCCTTCTTCCTCCTATATCCCTTCAGTTCCTCTTCCATATTTCTAATCCTCTTCTCTAATCCTTCCTTCTCCCTCTTCCACCCTTCCAATCTATTCTCCATCCATTTTCTCATCTCCTCCTTCTCCTCTTTCCATCTCCTAATTTCATCCCTTATCTCCTTCCATTCTTCACTTACCTTCCCCTCCCCCTTATCCCCTTCTTCCTCTTTTTTAATTGGTGATCTATCTATTTTTCTGCTCCTTCTAAAAATGTTCCCCTCCTCCTCCCCCTCTTCCTGCCTAATCCTTTTCTCCCCTTGCTTCTTAAATATTTTAATTAGTGGCTATTCGCCCTCTCTCTTTTCAGAGATTCTGCGATCGTCGGTCTTCCCACTCTTCCTTTCTCTATCCCTTTTAACCCCTCCTCCACCTTCTTCTCGCTTTCCATCCTCACCACCTCCCTTTCCCTATTTCTCTTCCTATCGTTATATTCACCTACTTCACCTAATTCCTCTATCTGCTCCCCTCTATCTTTCTCTCTACTCTATGCCCGCTGCCCGGCCTCTTGAATCTACTGCTTCCCCTCTACCTCGTACGCTAGTCTATGCCTGTCACACCGCAACACTCCAGCTAACCCACCTTTCTCTTTCGCCACTACCGCACTCCTGCTCACCCTCGCGCCTCCCCTTTACTCTCCCACCTTCACTCCACCCTCCCTCACCTCTCCACCTACCTTGCTCTCGCTCCTCCACTACCTTCCCTGCCCTTATTCACTCCTTCACTCACTCACACTCGCAAACACAACTCTCACGCTCGCTGCCGGAAACGGAAGTCCCCTATAAAAAGCATATAAAAATAATGAAAATAAAAAATATATAAATACACATAAATAAAATAACGACACACGCGCGCGCGCGCGCGCACACACGCACACATACGCACCCCCCTCCACCCACCCACCCCCACACACACACCCACACACGCACGCACGCGCGCACGCACAAGCAAGCACGCATGCATGCACACGCATGCAAACTCGCACACAGCAGAGAGGGTTTGGAGTCTATAAATACCACGGGAGTGACGAACCGTGGGGTCCTAATCCCTGCTGTGGCGCGCGCGCACACACACACGCACACGCCAACAGAAAGAGGTGTAAATCCGACCGAGCAACATCCACGTTGTACACCTTGGGTAAAGCTAATGCCGGCGGTATTACAGACGACTCATAACTCAGGTAGTTTTCATTGTGCATGATTTTCGCGGATCAGAACATGACCCCTCCCCCAAATTCATTTACGTATGATTTCTGAACTAGAAGCGATACAAACCCCAATGAAACATTTGTGAGCAAACGATGGGCAAACATTTGCGAAAAGAACATTTTGAATTTTTACATTAAGCCAGTGTAAAATCTATTCCGTCAAAATTGATTTGCCCATAACATTAAAAATTCCTAACAACCCATTAGATGTGACAGCAAAAAATGGGTGACATTAGTAGTAATATAAGAATACATGGAGGAACGAATCACTCTGCACAGTAACCCATATGAAGACTTCTACCGACCTTTCACAACAATTGACGTCTTTTTAAAAAATTTTATATCTACTCTATATGGGTTACTGTGCAGAATGATTCGTTCCTCCATGTATTCTTATATTACTACTAATGTCACCCATTTTTTGCTGTCACATCTAATGGGTTGTTAGGAATTTTTAATACTTGATAAGGACCAGTATTACTGGTCGAAACGTTGTATGTATTAAACGAAATATATTGTGCCAGTTAATTGTCGACGTTATCCTTATATTATTTGTTCTTTATTTACTGGTGATCCATCTCTTCAAGTTTTTATTTCTCTTATTAGATCTTTGATATGTTAGGATCCCTGATATTTTTAAAAATAATTAGACAATTGTTTTGATTTTAATATTATTAATATTTGAAGTCTTAATATAAGAAGTCTTCAATTCAAGCCAACAAACTTCAAGTTTTGTTTAATTAATCGGCGTTTGTTTAATAGTCCTTAATTATGGTTTTCTTATCCGAATAGAAAACCATTTATGAAATCGTATGATAAAATTTTGATGAAATGTGTAATCTGCAATTATATGAATATATGAATAAATATAGACCTTTTACTAAGTTAATTATTTTAGCAATTACTGTTTAATAGTATTTCCGCTAAACAATATAATATAG